AAGTAGAGATGGTGATATCTAAGAGGGCTGTAGTTCAATGCACATCCGATCCAAAGGCCCAAAGGTTTGAATTATTTTCAAAACAAATTCAACCTCACAGTAACAACAACTTATCAGATTGAATTTTTTGAAGTCTAAGACCAAGGAAATGGGCTGGTCTGCTTCTGTGACTGGAATTTTCAAAAGCCAAAGCACAGTAGATTTTGTATTTTTTTTGATGGGTATAAATGTTCACATCTGGGAAAGATCACAAAAAACTATTTCTATGAAGCCTATTTTAAATGAGAAAAAAAAACACTGAATAGTTAAATAGAACTGTGATCGTACCTTGAACCTGTGTTGGACATTTGAAATAAATAATTATTTTATATTTGTGAAAAAGAAGTCTTTTTAATATCTTCCTAAAAAACAACTAATTGGGGTGATTACATTTGTAAAGCCTGTGCATGCAGCACTTAATGGTCCCAAGACTAATTTCTTTTTTCAACGGCTCAGATGATCAAATCTGCCAAGTACTGTAGCTTTGAGAAATGCGCAATCTCAGCTTCAAGTCAAGTTATTCTGTGAGCTGCAGAGGCTCTCCTCCAGACAGAAATGACCACCTCTCAGGTTGAGAGCCTCTCCCATTAATCTCTTTAATATTTTTTATCATTGTATCATGCTAATTGATGTTGTAAATTGTTCTGAATGAGTCTACTGAAAGAAAACACTCAGCTGTAACCCAGGCAAGAAAGAAAAAAAAATACTTCAACTCCATACTGTGGTTCACAGTGCAGTTTATGAAAGTGGTTTGGGCCGTTTCGATTTTAAAGACTGGCCCTGAAGTATTGAAGCATTCACCCTCTAAGCTCTGCAAGGCCATTCTTAACAAGATGTCTTGTCTCTGCAGAACTGTTCCATATTTTCAGTGCAGAGCACGCAGTAGCACTGTGTATTTTTCCTTTATTGTTGGTCCCAATAGTAATCTCTTCTACCTACCTCTGTTTTTATAGTTAGTAGTGGACTTTACTTTGGTGGCTGGTATTATTTGATTGAACAGGGAATAACATAGTGACTGTGTCTTTATTGTTCCCACCATGGAGGGTATACTTGTACATCTTGTTGTGGAAACTGGATGAGATGAGTTTATTGGTTTAATCTTTAGTGGTAGATTATTTAAGTGTTTTTTAGTGATTTAGTTGTGATTTAGTGGTTGGCTATAGATGAATATAAACTAAGTGGTAGAAACTGCTTTATTGAAGATACTGATTTAGTGGAGGATACTGGTTTAATTGGTGGTTATTGGTTCAGTACTAGTTATTGGTTTACTGGTTAAATTGGTGTAGTGCTGGATTTAGTCTTAGGTGTTGGTTGAGTGGTGGATATTTAGTGGTTGTTTACGGTTCAGTAATGATTATTAGTTTACTGGTTAAACACTTTTTGAATGGATACTACTTAAGTGGTGAGGTTTGGTTTAGTTGGTGCTACTGGTTTAGTAGTGGAATGTGGCTACCTGCCTGAAAGAGATTTAGTTAGCCATTCATACTGAAACATGAAACAAGAAACAAATAATCCTTGATCCCTACTCTTTAAAATCCTCTATTTGCTCCTACTACAATGTTGTGGTGCCATTTTTTAAAGATCTGATTCTGTGTGTTTTGATATATCACCTCTGTTAAACTTGTAAAATACTTGAGTAGCTCGCTGATGCCAAAATGGAATCTCTTTTTTATTTGTCCCAAGTTATTTTTTGCATGTATGTCAAAAACCAAAATGTAGTGTTGGGTTTTTCATCCAAGGGGCTGGAGAAGATCTGTTGTTCTCTTGTATTATCATCTGTTTGTATTATCAAAGTTTTTGTTTCTCTGGTTTGAGGGGTACCTTTTGTGAATTTTCTTTAAAACCAGTTACATTAGTAATTCATAATACCAAGTAATGAACAAGGAACCTGTTGTAAAAATACACTATATACTGTACATAGCGAAGCTATTTTTAAATAGCCTAATCAAGAGTCATGAATGAAAACAAATGGCCTTCTGATACTTCGTCTAGAAAATCAGAATAATATGATTGTGCACACAAGAGTCATGCGCACATTAATACCACACTCAGAATGATGAAAACAGGATGGTCATATAGGAAAGAAAGAGCTGTGTTATTAATTTACCCTCAGCCTCTCCGGTTTGGAGTACACCTGGACCCAAGGTCCCCTGAGCCGAGAAAGTAATTTAACAGATTGAATTGAACTTAAGTCACTGTGAGGAACAAATGAACTGACTCTAAAATTTTGGGGCTGTTTTGTTTTCTTGACATTCTGAAACCCTGTACTTTGGATATTGAGATATGATGTAGAAATAGTAATAGGGGATTCAAATTAAATTGTAGAAGCACTGCAGTTGAAAACTTCACTACAGCCAACACAAATATAAATAATAGGCTCATAAGTTAAATATTTAAATGCAGTCTGCCTATTTGTTGCAGTGTGATGTGAAAATGCAAAGATGAATTATGCATTGATGCATTAAGAATTCATGCAGGAGATGCATTAAAACCATTGCCTTTCTGTATATTAATACACCACAGTAAAATTAAGCTAACATACACATAGCTGTCTAATTTCAAAAATACCAAGGCTCATTATGATGAAAGTTGCTGGTATCCCACTCTCTGATTGATGGCATTTGATCTGTAGTCCTCAATGAGTGTGTGACTGGCAACCAACCACATGACAAATGGTCAGATGTCATCACTCTGCATTGAAAAAAAGAGGTACACTAAAATAATTGAACTGCTGCACACTAGGAAAAAATGGGCTGAGGAGATTGTTAAAATTGAGGTAATTAGTGTTCAGGTACAGCTGATGCTCTTTCATCATAAACGTAGGCTTGTAAAGATTGGAAGAAGCCTGGTGTACTGTATGTCCCTCTGTGTGCGATTAGGTCTTCATTGCCTTTTTAAAATATTTTCTTAATCAGCTCCTACTTCTGGTTCTGCTCTGTGCTGCTCTGTGCAAAATGTGCATGTTCCAGGTTAGCTGTCAGAAGTGAAGCAATAATTAATTTTGATATTTATTTGTATGTTTGCTACGGCTTAATAACATTGTCATTGTGATCAGACATAAATGAAAGAAGCTTTCAAGATATTAAAAAAATTAATTAGGCTTCACTATTTGTATTGTTTATTCGACATGTACCTTTACAGATTTTGATAATTAAATTCCTGCTTTTCACAGGGGCATCCTTAAGCTTATACGTTACAAAGAAAAACAATGCAGTATGTCCATTTGTCTTAAAGTCTTTTAATCGTGGTGCTTTGTATCTTGTCAGTTAAGACTAGCCACATTCAACCTGACCTTGACAAGTTCTGTTTACATTTAATTGGTGGTAGAGGAAGACGCTTCACAAGGACACGTTTAAGATTACTCTTCAAACTGCAGTGGTCTACAGAAAACAAAAACTAAAACGATGTATGTTCTTCGTCGGTAATGTGACCTTAGTACTGCTGGTGACAGATTCTGTAAGCATTTTTTTCCCTTTGTCGCTGTACATTGCCCGAGGTTACCGTTTATTTGCAGCTTGGATTTCTGTGTACACACAATGCAAACTGACCGTGGTATTCCATAACAATAACATAATGTCTACGCGTATGTGCGAGCTACCTGTTTAGATAGCTTTTTGTGTGTATTATATATATATATTTCGAGACAGAGATTAGTGATCTGAGATTCCTTCGAAACAGAGCTGTGAATTCAAGTTTATAGATTTTAAACGTTTTAAAGCTCTAGCATTTATGCAGATGTTCTGAATCAAATACTGAAGAGTCGGTTACGTGTAAACCGGCTATATGTTTACTTTGGGATTTTTATTTTTTCTAAATTTAATGTAACGAGTTTTTAGAAGCAGTGGTACAGTATACAGTAGTTGCGTTTGTAGCGGATTCAGAGCACGCACTAAACCACCAAAACGGCATAGACGTGCGCTCTTAACACATTATTGCACTGCTCTTCATTTTGACAAGTCATTTTAACCTCTGAGCACCCGCAGTATGTGTGATATACTCAGCATATTGTAAAATCGGATTCCTAGCGTCATATTTTCGGTGACAGTTTCGCGTTGTTCACCTTACGAAGATTAGGATAAAGAAATAAAGAGATGGGTTATTGCACTTCTCCACAACGCATATTTTCTACATCTGAAAATAGCTCAACAGTTGCTACTATTTCAGATTATGCTGCAAGGTTAAGTATCAACAGGTTAGTTCTAAATCAACGAGAGACCCTTCGCTCTTTTTCAATGTTCCTATTTATCTTTTTAATGGGTCCCGTTTCAGTTCAAGAAAGATTGATTACGGATTTATTTTCGTGAGCACAACTGAAGCATCCAGTCTGGAAAAGATAACAGAGGCCTCTAGGGATTCCGAAGATACTCAAGGTAGACTGCATTGTCTTAAAAGCAATAATATGTACATGCACAGGTGACTTAAATAAAATAAGAATAAAACATGAGTACATACACCTTCTAAAAGAATCTCATTATGGAATGCATACTTTGCACTAAAATACTAAGTAATCATTTGTTGGTGTTATCGAGTGTGTGAATATCTCTTATTAAAAGAGAAGTACTGTAATGTAGGCAATTATACAACTTATTGATAGTCTTTATTCATGAAAATGTTTATTTGTATTTTAAGTTAAGTTTTTGTCTGAAAGCAATAATAAACTAGAAATGTAAACTTTATGTAAACAAGGGAAATCGTCTATTGTGACCTTAACACTTTTTAACTTCGTCGAGATGCAGGGATTTAAGCAAACATTTAATGTGGAAAAAAAATTAATGTTTTAAAAACAAGTAAACTAAAATTAGTATTGCATCTCATCTACAGTTACCTTTGTTAAATCAATCGCATATGGCTAAAATGGAATTTTTGAATGCGTACACATACAGATTAGAGGTCTCCATTTTAAAACCATGAGTCTGCACGCTGAAACATTTTAATTACATTTATTTAAAAAGAAACAACGGTTTAAACAAGAGGAGATAACAGCTCGTATACAATGTTCATTTTAACAAACATACACCACATATCCTACTGAACAGTAATTGATATTTATTTTTTTACATTTACTCCCGTGCTTTAAAAATCATGCTCTGCATTGTACCTACTTTACAAACATCAAACAATATATATTTTAAACAATTGCAAATATGAAGACTGGTCGTGCCTACATTTACATTTCTCTTGATTCTATGATTGTACCAATCCGTAGAAATGTCAATAACATAATTATTTTGGCTGTACATCGTGTAAAAACTACGCCATTTGAAAATACAAATCAATTTAAAAAGTCGAAATAAAAGTCGGGATCATCACATCCCAAGATTTTTTTTTTCATGGAATATGTGAAGGGATTGTATATTCTAAAGGCACGGTATTTAAATAACAACAACTACAAAAAGTTTGTTAGCTTTCAGACTGTGGTTTGGTGCAGATTAGTTTCTGCATTTATTACCCTTAAAGTGCAGCTATTTGGTTGAAAGATTCGTAGAACTATACTCATTATATTTATTGCAAGAGTTAGATGAGTGATTATTCATTCAGGGAAAAAAAGACGTACAGTATGCAGAACAAATATCAGATATTTAAAAATACTAAGTATTTAAAAAAGAAATGCATATGCGCCCCAGATTTGACCATACAGTCTACTTTAAAACACAGTTTTGGAAACATAGAAAGAAAACAACAATTTCCATAAAATAACAGTTTATAAATATACGATACAATCAAAAGAACATTTTGCAAGTCGTTTTTGCAGAGGCACTTTCACACTCTTCCCCACACTGTGATGCCTGTTTTGTTTTTGTTTTTACTGATTCAGTAACATAAATAGAGATCTCATTTGTATATATAAATAAGAGTTTGCTTGTGTTGTAAAACTAGTTTTTTTTTAATGCTTAGTGTCTTGTTAGTCTTTATTTTTGCTAGATTCTTGGTCGCTTTGATCGTCCGTGAAGCACACATCCACATCACTGTCGTTGCTGTTGTCGCTCTTTTGCTCCTGGTCTTGAAAAATGTTCTCCATTTTGTCCTCATTCTTTTTGATTGTTTGTCCAGGGTGTCTCGATTTAACGTGTCTTTCCAGATCTCTTCGTCGAACCAGAACCTTCCCGCAGAATTCACACCTGTAAGGAGTGTTGCCCTCGGCGTGGAGCCGGATGTGCTTGTTCAGGTTGCTGGGGTCCCCAAAGGGTCGGAAACAGACTTTGCACTTCAACGGCTTGTAACCTGTATGAGTCCGCATGTGTATCTTGAGGCCATATTTCCGAGAGTAAAGTTTGCCGCAGTATAGACAGAGGTGACCTTTTTTAGGCTTTCCCGACGCAGATGTTGTCGTGGGCATTGACTCTAATCTGGCCCGGTTCTTTTCAACGGCTATTTCAGAAAGCTGTTGAGTGTGCATGGCAATCTCCCTGTCGATGTTCGCGATGGAACTCAAATCTGGGTTGAGGGCTGGAGTACCAAAATAGGACATGGACTCCGGATACTTGATCAGATTGCTGAAATGGAATTTGAGTGGGTAATAAGGAGAACTGTAGAGCAGTTCCCCGTTGTAGACTGTAAAGGGCATGATCGGGATGTTGCAGTCTCCGCCGTAGGGCTTAACCCCATCGAACTGGGGGATAGAAAACCGTTCAAAATGGAAACCAGAGGAAATCTGGGAGTAGCGTGATGGAGACAGCCCGGCGTGGAGACGGCTCTCCACGTGTTTAAAAGCAGACGTTTCCTCAAAGTGCGGCAGTAATGGAAACCCACGGATGTTGTTACTGCATGGCAACACCGGTGACGTGGAATCAACAGGGTGCACACATTTCGAAGGGTGATTGCCAACTAAGGGGTCACTAGATGTGCGTGTGGATTTGATGTTGCCTAAAAGTTTACTAAAGCCCAGTCCATTTGGTTTTACATTACCTTCCTCTCTGGATACATCCGAGGGAGGGAGTTTTGATAGCCCCGTTGGTTTAAAAGCCGACCTCACTCCAGGGTGAAACCCCATGCTGTTCAGTACAGAGGAGGTCCCACCCAGGCCTAGGAGGTGTCCGTGGTTTCTTGCGGAAGTGACGCTCATGTCTAGCGCTCTATCCTGCTCCTCGGAACTCGACGTTTTCTTGCTAATTCCCGTTTTGTTTAAAAACGGGGAGGATGATGCTGTCCGTTTAATGTTGTCAGAGCTGGCGGGGTTATGGCTATGGCCGTTTCTCATCTGCGCGGACGTATTTGGTATGTCGCCTGATTTGGGAGACCTGTTTGAATTTTCAGAGTTCCTGACTTGCTCGCTGCTCATGAAGGCCCTTCCATTGCTTAAAGCACACTGAAAGTGAATGTGCGCTTTCAGTGTGTTGGGATATTTGAATATTCTCCAACAATACCAGCAGATGTAGCGTTCATCTCCTATCACAAAAAAGAAAAGCAACAAGAACAAACTTAGTTCGGCTGATGTTTTGTATTGATCAAAGTTAAAACAAGAAGGATCATGTAATATTAACTAATCTACTAACAGTCATACTTACATGAAGAAAATGTCTTATTCAGTGTCGTTTAACACGTAAGTGACTAAAAGGGGGCGATATTGAATCGATCATTTGATGTAATGCTCCTGTAATATTTATCATTGCCTTCAAAAGAGCAAACGCGAGTCAAATTCGTGCCTGAGAAACCAATCTGTTGAATGACTACTTTCTATCTTCTACTTTCCCGTTGAAGCGATAACAGCTGTGGCTTGAAATCGTAAGGCGCGATAAACAATGAGGCTGGCCCATCTGTTGATGCCGAAGAATAGGAGGCGTATGTCAAGGACGTGGCTGTACTGGCCGGAAAGCAATGTACACATGAAGAGAAGCTTTTCGATCCGAATTAGGGCAATATACATCCTATGTATAACTTAGTATTCATTAGACAACAATACCTTTTTGTGAGCTCATAATTTACCGTATAACGGTCTTTTAATTTATTTTCTTTAGAAGTCATGAATAATAAAAGCGGTACATTTGTGAATACGTTTATTATTAGTATTATTATTATTGTTGTTGTTTTTGTTGTTGTTGTTGTTGTTGTTGTTGTTGTTGTTGTTGTTTTGACTTTTAAAACATCGAAATATAAGGATTAGAAAAGATAAATGGAAAGAGCAAACTTTGTATCACTACACAATATAAAAAATAACAAACGTATTAAAATTAATATTATAAAGCTAAATTATAATTAACTTGCAGGAATGTGATTTTACGCTCCTCAATAGAAGTCTTCATTTATGCAGTAATAATAGAGTTTTGAAGTCGTAAATCAATCATTTTGTTTTACGGTAACGTTACTTTCATAGAGGTTCTGCTTGGTGTTTTACGTCTTTATTGTATTGGTGTTGGTGGTACCCGAACATTCGCAATAATTTCTGAAGTAACTGAAGCGTCTTCAGTCATCCAGTTCGATCTCGTTTAATGGCCAAGTACTTTTACAGAGGGAATAAAGAAGCTTGAACATGTATTTCTCCTATACTATATACCCTCTATTCGGTAATTAATAACGATTATTAAAATATCATTAAAAGTTCTGAAATTAGTTTTTT